TGTTACAAATAGTTACAAATGAGTTACAAAATATTGGCATGGGTCGGGAGTCGATCGGACAATGTCGGGGGGCCATCTTCACGCACGTATCAAACAGTTCTTTTTAAATAAATTACCATTTTTTGTACTTGATTCAAATTATATTTAAAAATCATTATTTTGTTTTTAAAAGAAACTTTTAGCAAAAACAAAATAAATATAGGCATACTTATAATATGTGTATTTAAATTATGTAGTAAAAATACAGTGTTTTAATATATATCAAAGAGAGATGTTTAAAAAAAATTATGAAAAAACACTTCTTTTAATTGTTGTTTCAAATAACTCTTAAAATTTAAAAATATAATAATAAGTTTTCGTGTTTATTATCTCAATTAATTACAATTTAAAACTAATGTAATTTGATGTACGCAATATGTAAAAACACTGAATTAAATGCTAACATATTATTAGTATATTACCAACTATGGTTTTAATAAATTCAAATGTTTTATTATACTAATTAGTAATCATTAATCAATAACAAATAAGTGTATACATTTAGGGAAATTTGAATTGTAAAACAAAGTTTATTTCAGATAGCAGAGAAGAGTCATTAAGAAATTGTAAAAATGCACAATTTAGCTCATAATGTTCCAGTATTGAGCACTCCATCATCGTTTGTATATAATCAGTTCGGAACTTATGGAACAACTTATAATCAAGTCTGTCAGGTAAATGCTTAGAAACCTATAATTATTTTTAAGATAATTAAATATATATTATTCAACAATTCGAAATAGTATATTTAAGTAAGTATTCGACAATATACTATTTTCTCACTACTCAGTTGGTATATTTTATATTGTAAAGTACGTTTTCATTAAAGTTTTTTAAGTTTACAATAACGCAGATACCATTTCAGTATTGGTTGTAAGTTTTGAATAACTTATTTAATAAACATAATATATTATCATTCTACATGTTTTTACATTTTTTTTTTTTAGTACCTCTTTACTCTTATTGTAAAATTATTATGTGCCAACGTGCAAAAAGTACAATTTATTTTTAAACAACGTTTGAAAAAAAACAATTAAGTATCATTCAATTTAAAAGTACAAATTACTTTTTGTTAAACAATTCACTTTTATTTATGAATAAATATTACTATACGCAAATATGTGAGTCCTGCTTTGTACTCAGTCGTGCCTGTATACCTATAGATATTTTGTTATTGATTGTTGAAAATGAGATATTATTTGTTGTTAATCGTTATTAAATTTAACTAAATCAAATTACATTTACATTCTTATAAAAATCAACCATAAAAAAGTTGGCTTTTTTCAAATTGTATTTCTAAATAAGAAAACAATTTAAAATAAAATATAAAAGTATTGTAAACAACTTCAATCAAGACTGAATCTGTGAAAACAAATCTTCTTCTTGCATACGCTCTGGGGTAGTTAAATTAAACCACCCTTCGTTCTTTAAGGAGTGTGATTACATAGTTAAAATGATGATATTATAATCCTGGTATAAAAATTATCAAGAACAGCAGTGTATGCGATTTCCCAACAACTATTTTTAATAATTAATCTCAGAAGGTAATTAAAGTTGAAAAAAAAGTAATTTATAACTTTTTAATATTTCAATATACGAGTACTTTGAAAAGGCTCTTATAATATTATAGTAAAACTACAGTATTTATTATTATATTAATATTACCTGAACATCATTCGTGTAATTTACAATATCCGTGAAATAGACAAAAAATGGTGATGTTCAATAAAAACTGCATATACTCCACGGGAATAAGACAGAATGAACTTGTGATACTGGCTATTGTACCCATATTTTGACTCCCAAGTAAAACAATTCAATATAATTTTAAGTACAAGACTAATTTAATATGACATTAGACTATTAGAGCACCTAAATTTTAATAAAGTTGACCACGAAAATAAAATAGTTTATATTTTATAATGAAACTAACGCAATATATTTTTTTATAAACAGTCCTCATTAATAGCTACAGTCCAACCTCCGCCGTCTGTGTCCACTTATATTAACTCGATGGTTACCGCTCAAACAATTACAACACCAGTCGTTTCCTCAATAAACAGTAAGAATCCACGTTCTACATTTCATAATTGCATAATATTGATTGCTATTTTTTTTTTGTTACCATTACAGCTCAAATTGTGAATAGTCGCAATGTTTTGTCTAGTATACCGTCGCCGACAATACCGATGTTTTCAATTAACAGTCGTCCAAACACATCGACAAGAGAACAGCATTCGAATACTAGAACCACTAATCCAATCTTGTTTAATAATTCAACTATGCAACAACAGTCATTTTCCACTCGTAAATATTAATTATACTATTCTTTTTTTTCACATCGTCTCAAAATTTTCAAAATTTAACCATTCTAATAATTTTTAGTTATCTAACCAAATTAATTTTTTAATAAATACTTTTTATCAAATGCACAACATGATCTCTGACCACGGTAAGTAGGTATTATCATATAATAAACCAAGGTTCTGTATAGAGATCGTATAAGATGATGTTAATATTTTTGAGTTATTGCCACCGAAGTCTAATGTTTTAATGTGTAGTCTCTGAAAGGAATGAAACATTTAGAGCACTATTTCTTTACAATGATGAATACTCACATATAAAAACATCATTAACTAGTAAAGTTATGCTAGTGGCTGGTTAGTTCAATAGGATTACTTATACAGAATGTATTTTAAACATTACAGTTTATGACTTTCATCCTACATCGTTGTTTTACTGTAAATAGTATGATGATACTATACCAAAGACGGTACTGACCTTTAATATTCACATTGCGATAGCATTTCAAAATATATTTATTATTTATGTATTTGTAATATATATATAATAATTCATCGTGAAAAACTTACACAAATGATAATAGTCACAAAATGTAAAATCAAAACTTTAATTTATTATATTTTAAACTCATATTAACATATATTATTATGGCTATAAGTCCAGCTTCTAATATTTCTTATTTTTGCAAAGACTTTCTAATTATTTGTAAGACATTTTTTTTTTGTATCACAATCTAATAATATAACATGTCGTTAGATCGACGCGTGGTCCTGTAAAGGATTAAAATGAAAAAATTGGACATTCGTGTTTCAATATTCTAGCATAACACGTTAATACCATCATTTGACAAGTTCTGAAAAAAATATAGACTATAATATAATTACAACATTTTTATTATCTTGTCTTAGAATCGAAAATGATTAATAAATATAAGAAAATCCTGAAATAGTTCAGTCGTTTGGTAAGCCACTGTTTTTGCCTTCGGGCGAGTCTTTCGAGTGTCACTATGTATTACTCGTATAAAGATATATCATATATATTGTGATACTTTGTACGGTTTAAGCCATATTTTTCTTAGTTTATTGCATTTGAAAATAGTTATAAATGGAGTTGTTTTTAAAATTTTTTGATTTTATTTGAAAAAAATAATAGAACAAACTCAAAACATTGCGAATTTGTTTTTTTTTTTTAAAGTTTATTTTATTTCACATTAATTTACATAATTTGAATCTTTGAGTCATATAGACTAATCGTAACATACTTAATGCTAAATGGATACAAATCCTTCTTTTAAAGTCAAAATAAAAATTTAGTTTGCATCCTACGAGTCTATATTTATATTAATCATTTAAAATAAATGTTGATTGACAAAAAAATCTAGCGATTCCAAAAATGAGTAAACGCCGATTTATTGGATTATAACACATTTTGAGTTTTGACATTTTATGATTTACTTTTTCATTAGTTCTGTAGCTAGACTATCTGACGTGTTAAGCAAGCATTTAAAATCCACTCTTATCGTTGACATTCACAAAATAATAATTGAAAGAGAAGTCAAATATACTCAACAAAACTGCTGCCAAAAGGCAATATTATGTAATTTGATTATAGCTCAAGGGTGGTTCTGAATTATACTTATGTTGTCGTACATTTTGTTTTCTCTAATTCTTTTTCATTTAGTCAACCCCAATCTTTGCCAATCCATATCACACGTGGGTTGTGGCCTTGTAGGTTGTATCAACGGTTATCATATGGTATATTTATCTATTGTGTATCATAAATAAACGTCTTAAAAATAAATTCAATTTCCCACAATGCATTTGCATAACAGTAAAAGCCAATAATAATTAATAATGCAAACATAATTTCAATTAGATCATGCTATACTAGCAGAGTCTCTTCAGTTATCAATACCAGCTCATCAAAACAGAATAATTTCATCAAACCGAGATCCAACAACGTTTAATAATGTTTCGACACTACACCGTATTGCAGGTATAGTAATTATTTTTCATACAACTGAATGACTATAACTATTATTATTTATTATTATTTGGAAATTATTCAATGTAATCGCACAATATCTCGAAAAATAGTTTTGTATACTAATATAACTGCTACCTACCATAAATAAAAATAATTTTATGATTATTTTAGTCCCTTACCAAGCGGTATTCAATCAATTTTCAGCTGCAATACCAAATGCTCCTCGTAAGTTTTCTTTTCTGAATCATATTTTAATACAATTGTAAATTGTAATGGGTTTTTTTTCACATTTTTTTTTTTAGGACACAATATCACTTTTGGACCCGAAGGCAGTAATTTGTTTATATACCATTTACCACAAGAGTTTAGTGACAACGAGCTCACTCATATGTTTATGCCATTCGGTCAGGTGCTGAGCTCAAAAGTCTACATAGATAGGGAAACAAATCAAAGCAAATGTTTCGGTAAGTACATTTTTTGCGAATTATTTTAGGAAATAGTTATAATTATAAAGTTAATAACTTATTGAACATGAGTTAAATTATAACCAAATTTAAATGGAACAATTTACCACATAAATATTTAATTTAAAAATAGGTAAACCCACAGATAATCAAAATTTAAAACAATGCATAATTATTTATCATTTGTCAATTCAAATTTGTTATAAGTATAACTTATATTATGCAAAAATAAAATTATCATTTACTTAACTGTAAATATGAAATTTTTTATTATAACTATTAAAAATTATTTTTTTTTAAATTTACAATTAATATTAAAAATACATTTTTAAAACATTTTTCGTAACAGGTTTTGTATCATTCGATAATCCAACAAGTGCACAAACTGCCATTCAAGTAATGAATGGTTTTCAGATCTGCCAGAAGAGATTAAAAGTACAATTAAAACGCCCGAAGGAAAAAAATTCTAGTAGAATTTATTTCTAAACATAATTGATTTATCAAATTTGAACGTTTCTAAGTATTTAATTTAATGTATGAAACCAGTCAGTATACCGTAAAATGAATATAATAATATTAATAAATTCTTTAAAGTAAAAATGTTAATATATTTATTATTTTGAGCTAAAAATGAGCTAAATTAAAAATGATTAATAAATACAATACAGATTTCAGATTTCATCAGTACTATTAATATAAATGTTTCAAAATATCAACTTGACAAACGATATAAAATAGGTACACAATAAGTAATTATGTTGGTATATTATGTAACTTAATTTTAATCAAGCTGTTTTTATGGTTTCGTACAATTATTGCTAGTGGTACCTAGGTAATGATTCAATTTGTATAGAAACAGAGAAAACTGTTTGTAATTATAACATTATTATTGACGCACTCTCCTTATTTTTAAACATACAGCAACGGGTTTGTTCCTTCGTTTTCAAAATTTGATAACTTAGACTATAATCTGTAGCTACTGAAAAACAAAAATATTGAATCATAAAATAGATATATGGTCATATAAATATATATACCTACCAATTACATATTGTTATGTTACAACTGAAAATTACTTACATTTTTTTTTTTTTTTTTTTTTGAACTTAAGCCCGGCGACTAAGGCCATTAGCTGTTGTAGGGGTTATGAACTGTGGTAGGGGTTAGGTTGGTACTGTAGGTTGTTTTTACGATTGTTAGGGTTGTTACGGCAGGTAGCAAACACGTGTATGTGTGGCAAGGTTTTTAACTACTATGAACCCGGGTGGTCACCCATCCGGGATCCGGGAGCTAGTAGCTGTGGCCGTTACTTACTACCAGTCGCATTCCGTGACTGGTAGCAGCCAACGCGCCACGCCAATCCACATTAAATTATTTTGTAATACTGTATAATGTTAGAATACGATAAAAAAAATGAAATAAATACTTATTTAGTGACGAAACATACATGACAACATCATCAGCAGATTTTCTATAGTAAATCTATTCAAAATATGACAATAAAATACTAAGTTAATATGAAAATCACCTAGCTTAAATTAAATCGAAAAATATTGTAGAATAAATATTATAAGGTTAAAATAGTATGATCTACCGTTTAGGATGTTCAGATATCTAATAGTAAAATATCTTTATGCAGTCAAAGGAAAGTTAACTAATTCACCAACCTTAAGAAATCATGAAACAATATTTACATTTTTTTTAATCTCATGTTTATGCTTATTTTTACATCAGTTTATATGCAATTATTAAAAATAAAATTTGATCCTTAATAAAAAAAGGGGTATTTAAAGTGTTGATGCAGATATTAAGTAGATACTTAGATAAAAATAATTACTTAATATTTTAGATGATTTTGTTTCGTTTAATCGATGCAACTCATACAATTTAGAAAAATACTTTTAGTACCTATTCAATTATATAGAAATAAGAATTGTGTATACCTATATTATTTAAATGTATTTGTTTTATGTAATTTAAGTTGTATAAAACGTATTTAAATAATATTCAATTATTATAGTTTGTGAGCATCTACTAATATTGTTAACTGAATATTGAAAAATAATAATACATTTTAAAAAAACAACAATTTATTAACATTTTAAATATATAATCAATTACCGATACTTAAATAACTTGAAATACCCATACCTACTCAATTAAATATTACCAAGAATAAGGCATAATAAAAACATAATATTATTATAATTGTATATAAAATTAAACTTGGTAAACATTAATAATTTAACCGTACTTTAAACTGCAAATATAAACGTTAAACTAATATTAAAATTAAAAGGTGTGTTTGGTTTTAAAATTTATATAAGTACCTATACTTAAAATAAAATTACATTTTGTTTATTGATTAAAAAGGTTTTTTTTTCAAAAAATGCCTATCAATTATCAAATGTCAATATTTATAGGTTGTAATTTGCATTAAATAATATTTACAGTGATACTCCTGAACTATACGTACTTGGTAGCTACCTACTTGTCCAGAAGGCAAACACAATTTAAAATGTATTTTAATTTCCAATTATATTTCCTTTATAATATTATCAGCTTCTAATATTGTATTAAAATAACCAACTATAAAAATTCGGCACTTCTACATCAGAATAACACCTTGAATATCTCTAAATGATATTGATTGATATTTATTAACAGCGTTTATCTATAAGCTCAGATATGCTCAACGTGTCCACAAATCTATAAAAAAACATTGATTAATATTGAAGATTTTATCTCACTGGGTTTCAATCAATTGAATGTGTCAACCTAATATTGTCTCATTTATTTTAATATTTTTCATGTTATTTTATTATGATCATGCAACATGAATTATTACAATAACATATAATTTTTACAGCAGTAAACAGAAATCATTGTCCTTAATAACTACCTATACGGAAATGTAGTTATTCTTTTGCCTCTCTTAATGAGTATAAATAACTTTATAGTTTAAAATATGTAAGGTAGGTACTTTCACTGTACCCCTCGGCATTTATTTAGTGGAGTCGAGGTCCTCAAATGTTAAACGGCCACAAGTGCAATAATTTTATGGCATATTGTAAAACTTGTATTAAGTATTTATACTTCAAACAATTTGATTGTTTTATTATATAAATAATAATAAAACAACGCTATTGAATTATATATTCATGCGACACATTTTGAATCATTATGCTTATTATATGAATAAGTTCATGTACATCAAAAATTACCTCACACATGTAATTTAGAAAAACTCTGTTTAGTAAAACAAAATCTACATCGTGATATTCATTAAATTATTCCTTCAGTAAACTAACATGTTTGCAGTATAAAGGAAATAACATTTACTGTGATTAATGAACATGTTATTTAATTTTTCATTCCTAGATAGATACTTTATTTATTACTTTATTTTAATTAAAATGTAATATATGTAACTTCTTAAGCACGATATATCTATTATGGTGTTAGAAATAAAGGAATACATAAATTGTCCCACATGAAAAAAATATTTTTTTTTAACAGTTCATTATATTCTAATAATAGTTGGATTATATTATTTTTCGTCTGTTAAACATGATTTTGGTTTGCTATACATGTGAGATCTACAAAAATATTAAACATTGAATAAAAAAAAATGTATTAATTTATAAAAAAAGTTAGTGACACGCATGCATAAGAACAGTGAGAGTTTAATATGAGAAAAATAATATATCTACATATCCAATGTTTATATAGATATACAATGAATATTAATTCCCCATGCCATAATATTTACGGTACCTAAAAATATATGTTACTAAGCAAAATTATGTTATAACAAATTTGTCATTAAAAGTGGTTTTAAAATTAAAAACATGTTGATCATATTATTAAACATCATTTATCGACATGTTTTTCAGTATAATTAAATTAATATAATACAATATTTATTCACTGACCTAACTAAAAGTTACCACCTTAAATTTCATGTTTTGTAAATAAATACAGTAAATCATGAAGTCTTAAAAAGTTAAATTTACAGAGTGGATTATTCACATATTATTTGTAATATTACATTAATACAAATTGATTATTATCAAATTCTTTAGAGATTTAAAAATTATCTTAAAATGTTTTTCTTTTTTAACGAAGTCGTTTTGTACATTGTAAACACCAAATACGTATAATATTTCTAACGTTTTCTTGTTCAAAACTATTAAATTATCGATTAGAAATAATTAATATGCCAGTTTCATTAATTAGCAAACATATTTTTATTCAAATATAAATATGTTTTTTTTAAGTACCCATTCAACCTACTCGTAATAGTGAAACTTTATAATTGAAAAATTAAAAATAAATAGATACACTGAAGTTTACTGACGAGTTGCTTAACCATAAATGGTACTTCTTCATATACTTCTTTTTTTTAAATGATTTTATTGGAAATTATTTAACCCTGGATAATCAGACACTTTATTTCCATTAAATCACTTATTTAAAATATAAAAAATTACCTTAACCATAGGTTCAATTGTACTGATAGTGTCATTGGCTAGTGATAATGATTAAGAAACTATACGCCCAATGGATTGTACTTTATATTTTGATCAACTGTGGCACATATAATATACTATATATTATTTAATTTTCCCACTTTTTGAAATGAATGTGGGTTTGAAATTATTGGTTTGACGACTATTAACATTTGGGGAGTAACTTGTTTTAGTCCTGCTCTGTGTGAGACTAATTATTCAACATTCTATATAAATATTTATAGTAAAGACAACAATATTTTAGATATTTTTAAAATAACTAAATCTAAACGACCGTCGAGTTTAAATTATAAACTCTTTATAATAATATAATATATTATAACCAATTATTTTAAAGTGCGGACATTTTTCAATTTTCAATTTAAAATATTTGTACTTAAAAACAAACAATTATTCTGGTGAAATATGTTATATAATTTAAAAATTTGTTAACCATTTTTAAAAAATTATATAATCCAATTCATCTTCAATAGTTATATAAACTGGATATTTTCCTGCAACTAATTAAAATGACTAACGGAAAATCATGGTTATAATTTGAGTTTTTAATTTTTTTTTCATCAGTTAAAATAAGCCAATGATTTCTAGTTTCAAATATTCGATGTGAAGAGAATAAAAAACAATAATTTTATTTTGCAAATGTTTCTACCAAAGAATTTAAATAAGCAAAAAAGTGTAAAAAGTCTTGTAAAATAAATGATGGGTTAAACTTGGTCAATTAACTATGAATTTATGAATATGGTGAAACATTTAATGATCAATTAATTACATTAAGATTACAAATACTAGAGAACTATAGTTGCATTATTTTTATCATGGGAACTAAGTAATACTCAACTAGGTTATAATATTCTCAAATAAAAAATATAATAATTATATTAGTATTAGTTTTCAATTAGAGATGTAATAAATTTAACTAGGTTTCTATAACCAAATTATATTTATTCGAGGTATAGATATATATAATTCAATATAAGAAAC